TAAGAGGCTTATAGTAAAGTGCTTCATTGTTGAGAGGTCAGGTCGACCTGGGTCACTATTCAGTGAGTGAATCTTAAGAGTTTTTTTTTTCACCTACCAAAAAAACTGAACTTTTCAGATTTAATCGGGCTGTGTGACTGATAAGATAAACAATTTCAGGATGACTTTATTGCAGTTGTGAACCAGCCAGAAGTTTGGTAACTAGTGTATTGCATTATTTCTCGGCGTAAGAGGTTAAGGGTGTAAGTGCGTATTCCAAATGCAGTAAATTAGCTAGATATTTGATGGGATGTTCGAGTGTCGGACGAGGCGTCCGTTTTAGCGGGTGCTTGCTGTAGTTATCAGGACATCTGGTGAGTACCTTCGTCAGTGTGGCTGCAGCAACACCAGCTGGAGGTGACCGCCGCCACCCATTACATACTCCAGCAGTGCACACAAAGGTAAACCGCATTGTATTTAAATCTTTACCTTATTCTGCGGCACACAGTTATCCAGGAGGCCTACTCAGGTGCTGAAACACAAGTAACATCACCCACAGTGTGTTGGCTTGTGGTGTGAAGTGTCTTGTCTTTTTTTTTTTTTGTGAGTCTACTGGCATTCAAAATTAATTGGAGACGTTTTTGTATTTGGAAAGAAGAGTGGCACTTATTTATTAATTGGTATTTTAGTGGTGATTTTGGAAACAATAATTAACGTAAGTGTACCATCCTCGTAATACTACCACCTATTTCATAATTTGTAAATTGTCAAGCGAGTTTTTAGTTATATTAAAATAGAGAAAATCGTTAAATGATATAATGTTGGCACAAGGATTCGGTGAAAGTCTTATTGACTTCAGTAATGGGTAGAAGTGTTCACTGATTACAATTGTTTAGAGCCCCGAGTCACTTGAGGAGAGACTCCTCCTCTGTTTTGATGCTTTTTTTAAAGTCAAGTTTGAGTATTTTGCTAATTTGGAAAATGTTTTAAGTTTAAAAAAAAAGTAAATTCTAACTACAAAAATAAATATCTGTAGAAAGGCAATTTTCCACAAAAAAATTTCGTTGAAAGGGTTTTTCATAAAAAATATTATTATTATTATTATAATCAAAAAGAAGCGCTAAGCCACAAGGGCTATACAGCCATAAAATAAATGATAGCTTTTAAAAGTTTCTCTATCCAGAAACAACAAAATGAAGCCGTGTAAAGTATTGAATCTTTTGAATTCCACAGATGATTGTTGAAAATCTTAGGGTAATCTCTGCCTTGGGAACTGTGCTGAATGAGCCATGCAAGTTTACTTACCCTTTATTTTTTTTTGCTAAACATCTCTGGCCCGCGGTGGATTGGCAGTAATTAACAAATATTTACGGGAACACGCTAAAGCCGTAGTCTTGATACAGCATCTTGTGAATGGGAGGTAATTAGGTTTGATTTAAGACTGGGGAGAGTAGCTCTAGTTTCTTGTATTCGGTCTCACCATCAAGGCTTCCATGGAATGGCAACTACTGGACGATGATGTGGTTAGTGATTTGCTGCATAGCGTGAATCTGGTATAATGAAATACTGCTGTTTTATGAATTATTGTTATTGTACATATTCAGTATACATTTTATATAGCGTACTGTTCAATGAGATATTGAAAATTATGGGTACACCCGCAGTGCGCGGCTACCTTATTTTGAGTTACAACATGGGAACAGTTACTACTAAAGGACATTTCCACGAGCCGCCCTAGGGCGGAGAAGGTGCCAGAGCCAGAGCTTGCTACCACCTGCAACTCGCAAGACTCCATTTATCGAGCCCCCCCTGGGGCAGGGAAGATGGTAGACCAGAGGCCTAGCTTCTCACTACGAGCCCCGAGAGGGCGGGGAATGGGGCTAGGCCTGGGGACAGTTGGTCCTAGAAGATGAAGTATTTGTACCTCCTCCCTTGGCAGACATAGGTCTCAGATACTCCCAAGACAGGGAGCCAAGGCCGGGTCTCCATATGGAAAAGACCCGGGCCGGTAGAGTACCGGCGAATCAAGAAGGTACTTCTAATATTGATGGGAAAGCTGCAGCAAAACCTGGCAGTTTACCTATCATATTGCAAATGAATTGGGAGAGGGAAGGAATATTCCTGCTTCCTTCCATCAACTGCAGATGGAATGGGGAGGGGAGGAATATTTCTGCTTCCTTCCATCAACAGGTTATATATTGCAGATGGAATGGGGAGGGGAGAAATATTTCTGCTTCCTTCCATCAACAGGTTATATATTGCAGATGGAATGGGGAGGGGAGGAATATTTCTGCTTCCTTCCATCAACAGGTTATATATTGCAGATGGAATGGGGAGGGGAGGAATATTTCTGCTTCCTTCCATCAACAGGTTATATATTGCAGATGGAATGGGGAGGGGAGGAATATTTCTTCCTTCCATCATCGGGTTATCAGCGTATTATGTTTAGGCAAGCATCATAAGTTATCGTCACATCCGTCAGAGGCGCCACCCCTGTGTACACATCAGCTACACACCGAGTCTAGAGTACTTGCTTCACCATGTGTAAGTTGCTTTGTCATATCTTATTGTAACATCAGCGGAGACATTGAGTTCTAGGTTCAACTACTATTTTTAGATTTGAACTAATATAGCTGTATTTTGGAGTGTAGTTAATCACTTGACACCAACACTAGTTATTTTTACTGGGAATTTGTAGGATCGAAGGATCATATACAGTTGCTGTTTAGGTAATCAGGTTTTAGCCACAGAAAAGGTGGGTAGCTACAATCCCTCGGATAAAATCCTACACCGGCATCAAGGCATCTTCCCTTGAAGGGCACAAAAAAAAAAAAAAAATTACGCTTCGTAAAAGCTTTTAACTTGTCACCCTAAATTCGTGACATATTTGTTTTAGAATGGATTAGGAGCGACGTAGGGAAGAAAAACTAAGCACGAATCTGCTTATGTTAATGTGGCTTCCAATGCCTGATTGAGGCGGTTACTCTTCAGTTGGCTGTGGCTCATGGTTAAAGTTTGCCTTTCGGATTAGGCCTTTCCGTTTTCGTCATGGCGGTTATAATTACCTAGGTACGTTTAGGAATCTCGGGGAACATTTAGGGGTCTTTTTTTTTTTGACAATTAATTTTTATTTGATGCTAGTTGTTTTAAATTGGTTTAAGAGTATTTGCGTTAGTGTTCATTGCATTTGTTTGTTGATTTTATCCTTGTTTTTGTGTTGCAAATTTTTTTTTCATGGCGTTGAGTGACCTGCGCAGTCAATGGTCCGTAAAGTCGGTGCTGCTGTCGCTGTCCTTGATGCTAAATGAGGATTCTTGCTCAGAACAGTTGGAACTGCCCTCACCATTTCGGATCTGACTTTACCTCTCATTACCGCTGGCTGACACCTACGTCGGGTAACGCTTCTCCAATAAAGCGCATCTGTGTGCATGTTTATGTACACGAGAGAGACAGGCATGCAAAGACACAAGCACGTTGGCTCACATATTACCATGCTGTTGGGTTTGTGTCCCTTCTACGTGCGGTTGGGTTTGTGCCCCCTCCTACGTTGGGTCTTTCCGTACCAACACACTGCTGATGCACCCCATGGTAGAGGGGTTTGTCATTTACAGTGCTGGTGGGGGGGTTGTGCTCGTACTTTCAAACACTACCCTAGTGGTGGGGTTTGAGCATCCGAAGTAGCATTAAGATCACATCAACTTATGGACTGTTATTCTTTTTTTTTTTACTGATATATTTATAGGTTGATTATTATGAAATAAATCTGGTAACTGGGTTATGTCAGACCGTAAATTTGTGACCCCACCCTCAAGACATCCGGTCTGGTAATTAATTTAAAGATTATCTACCTATATACTGTAAGAGGTTGAGAACTTCGCCGTGTTTTTAACATTACATTTCCTTTTCAGTCACCCTTCCTAGTAGGACAAACAACACACTGACATAAATGGTAAATATATCCAAATATTTATAACAAACGTTTTATAATAAGAGGAAAATATACATGGGGAAAATTTGTGAAACATGTTGGGGGAACTTAAGCACTAATTATTTTACTAAGTAAAAATCTAAAAGATTGTTTATCAATTACTAATATGTTACACTTCAATCGTATAATACCATGATGGGGGATGATAGTAATGAAGGGATGAAACAGAAATTGAAGGGAAATCCGGGACACTGGACTCGTATCAACCAAATTTCTAAGCTTTCACACAGGCAGCTGCTAACAGCAACCAGAACAAGGCTCAACTGAAGATCACCAGCCGATCCTGCTAGCCATACCATGGTCATGGATCGGACCACCGGGGGCGTTAACCCCCGGAACACAGTATTCCCTCTTTCTTTAGCCTCCTTCATTATCCTGCCTTTTCTAAAGTTAAATATAAATGCCTAACATGTGATTTGTGGATGATTCCCGAGTTGAGGGTTCACTGATAGCCGAAGACTGAGATACTCCTCCCCCTGGCAATTATGATTCAATGTATAACTAGTTCTGACTGGTTGTTAAACACCCAGCAAGTTATTAAATAGGGAGGGGAGGTATTCCTCGGTATTTATCGCGGAGAGGTAGTCCTCACAATGATGTGGGGTATAAGTAGTGTATCCCAATAGTCTTAATTATTATTATTAATATCCCGGGGAGAGCTAAACCCGTAGGGATTATACATAGACTGGTGTGGGGAGGGATGGAAGGCATTCAGGGAATTGGAGCAAATTATACAATTTCCTAGATTAAGATCCCCACACTAGCATCAAGAAATTTCCCTTGAGGGACCAACAGTCTTGAAGATGTAAGAATAATAAGCGGGACAGTGGTCAAACAAGTAGTCAGGTGTGGTGCTAGTTGGGCTGGGAGGGGGAGGGGGAGGGGGAGGGGGAGGGGGAGGGGGAGGGGAGTAGATAAGGCGAGTGGAAGTTAGGTCACTGTTTATTAACCAGTAGTAACCGAAGTAGAGAGATTAAAAGGTCCAGATACAGGCGATTGTGGAGCAGTGTGTCAAGATAACAGGTGGGGCCCCATCGAGGTGGTCGAGTATCGACCGCATTAGGAAGATTCATCTAGTCTTATGGTAGTTGAAGAGTACACTGGACTTAAGTCATCATCCCTTGGAAAAAGTATATACTAAGTAATAGAGTATGATAGTGGAATAGCGCGAAGGGCAGTGTGATTGCTCTCAACACTCCCACGTAAATATCCAGTAGAGCTTTCTGTTTACTGAAAAAATTGCTTTGATGAAAGTTGAGACTGCAGAATAAATACGGCTCCAAAACTGCAGGTAAGCAATTGAGGGTGGGGAAGGGAGGCACTCATGTCGCGGACTGACTTGTATTGCGGCAAACATTTGTTGCTTACAGTGATTGTGGTGTTTCGCTGTAGTGCTTGTTAGCAGTGACTTTAGAAATATTTTTTTTATAATGATACAAACAAAATAAACTTACTCGGTTTGATAGCGTAAAACAAATTGGAATAAAGTTTTCATAAATTCTCTACTATATTCAGACCCCTTATGGAAGTCCCATTATACTATGCAAAATATATAAGGATATATGTAAAATTAATATCAGCGTGTGGCCAAGTCTTGGTTCTAAAGTCAGGAACTTTAGATTACGTAACTCCTCACTCTCCCCTCTTGGTTAAATTCGTTCAGCCTAACAGAAACACGACCTTACTGCCGCAGTGAGTCGACATACATACATGATATATTATTTCAACACGTTTAATCATCTTCAAACGAAGGTAAAATACACATTGTTGTTTAAGAATGATGCGACAGTTAAGAACACTTTGAATTTTGGATGGTCATGCAGCTTAACTTAAAAGAGAAATTATTTTAAACGAGTACAGCAAGATATGTTTTATGGATAGACAATATAGCTCTTCTTATCTACGTAGCTGAAGTGGTTGTTCTACGAGGCTGAGGTTCCTCAGGTATGCATTCGGTTGCCATGCTGGTCAGGTCGGATGTTTTACCAATTTACTTTCTCTTGTGTACCCATCGTTTGACCTTCTCAGGAGTAAACAGTTTGAACTTTAATTCGAACATCAAACGCTAGTTAATCTAGCTACTTACATTTCAAATTTTAATGTTTGATTTTTTCCTGTCTTTTATTTCTCTTACAATTTAGACATTAAAAGGATTTAAAGGCTTAAAATGCTTAAATTAAAAACTTAGATGTTGATATTTAAATATTTTCATACATAACTTGACTTCTTGATTATCCTGAATAGTTAGTAATAATTTATGAAAATTTCAGTAGGTTGTAAGAGTATAAAGGTTTGTTTCCACGTTCTTGCACAGTCATCCTTGGCGGTCCTAAATCTTCCAAGGTTCTTAATATGAGGAAGGAGCTTGGTGTGTCTAGTAACAGTGATAGGATTTTTGAGATTAACATTGTACAAACCAGACAGTCACTATGAATCTTACTAAATGTCTAGAAGTAAATACACAATCTAAATGGGTTGTGAAAACATGCAATTATATTAAGTTTTATAACGTGCACGAACTGTATCACTTTAGACAAGAGCATTTGACCCCTCCATGATAGATGTGTTCATTTAATATCACATGCCTGCAAGCCCCTCCTAAGATGGCCATCACTAGAAAGCCCTCACTTAAATCGCCTGTAAAAGCGACTACTCGGGTAGAAATTTCTCATCTAACTAGTAGCATTAATTTATCACAAGTTATATACACTGATGGATCTAAACAGGAGTATATTGACAGGGCTGCGTCTGTTCTTGTTGCCACCTCCCTAATTAAGAAAAACAGGAACTTTGTTGAATTAGGTATAATAATTGACAACTGGGCTTCTACACTGCAGAATTATTTGCCATCCTAATGGCGTTAAAGCTGATTTATGACACTGAGCTTGGCTATAATTATTACTGATTCTTTGTCATCACTGAAGGCTCTTGACTTGAATAATTAGTCTAACAACATGCTCATTGGAGAAACTAGATAAAGATACTCGGAAATCTGGGAAAAGGGAATTAATGTACAATTATGGATTTCGTCACACCTTGGATTAACTCCTTCATGATAAAGTTGATACGTTAGCCAAGAAAAGTACCTTGAAGAATGTAGAATATAACTGGTATATCTGTGTTTAGCATTAGGAATAATAATAGACGTAAATAATGACAGTGTTATAGGAATGCAATTAGAAGCCTAAGTATTATTATTATTATTATTACTATTATTATTATTATTATTATTATTATTATTATTATTATTATAATCAAAAGAGATGCTAAACTGCAAGGGTTATACAGCAGAAGCCTGAGTAGATCTATAACGCACTATAACATAAACGTAGATAAGTACGTTTATGGAGCAACTTGCAATGTGAACAAACTGATGTTGTGGCCAGGCTTAGGTTTGGTTACAAGTACTTCTGGCAGTTTGACACGTACAGTTGGTGATCAAACCAAATGTGGCCAGCCCTATGGTCACTATCTTGAACACTGCGTAATTGTCCACGTATCGAGGAATATAGATTGTATAATATCCTGTGGGACATGTCAGGGTAGCATAAATATTAATGGAAATAAGATACCAGATATTAATATTAATCAGATTTCCTAAATTTGCTTGCAGAAGATAAGTAACTAGATATAATGCCAAATCTACTCCAGTTAACCCTTTTGGGGCCTAGTTTCTAGGCCTTTTGTGTATCCACATGCTCATGCGCTACCGGCCACAGGATGGATATGGGGCGCACAACAAACTTACCACTTAGTTGGCAAAATCTAAATCTTACGCTCGTGATATGACGTTAGTGTACGTAATTCCAAGTGGTACCAACAGATTTTTGTAAAATACAATAGTGCAGTTCTCTTAAGGCCAAAAATTTATGTACTATCTAAAATACAAGCGAAAGCTTGCGTTTCAGAATAAGTTTCCACCGTATTAGCGCTAGTGTAAACTTTATGGCCGTGATTGTAATAGTGGTGGTGGCGGTAATTGTGTTCGGTGGCAGTGATTGTTGCGGTGATCGGTGATAGTAAGGGGGATGTTAATAGTTTTGTTTTTTCGGTGGCAGTGATTATAGCTTGAGAGGTATTGACGGTCGCACGGTGATTAGACATACTGGGGCAGATAAAAGAAATCTCTACGTTGGCAGATAAATCAACACTTGAGAAATGAATACAAGCGTATTGGTGGCTATTTCTTTAATATTTCTGCCATGTGTGAAGATGGTGGGGAAGCATTCACAGTTGGGCGCGTCTGGAGTTGAATCATGAGTTGGAATGTGATAGTTTTGATAAATGTGCACTCTCCAAGGAAGGAATGTGCGCAGTAAGTGAAGCGAGTGTGAAGAGGCCTCTGAAGGGGAGAAGCTGTGGTTTGAGCAGAGAAGGAAGACTACGCTGGGGGTGGTGGTGGCTAGGTAGTGTTGGTTTAGACGATAACGATAGTGTTGGTGGCGGTGATTTGTTGATCATGATAATGTTGACAGTGATGGTAGTGATGATGGTTGATCATAATGTTAACAATGATGGGGGTGATGCTGGTTGTTGATCATAATCTTAACAGTGATGGTGGTGATGCTGGTTGTTGTTCATAATGTTAACAGTGATGGTGGTGATGCTGGTTGTTGATCATAATGTTAACAGTGATGGTGGTGATGCTGGTTGTTGATCATAATGTTAACAGTGATGGTGGTGATGCTGGTTGTTGATCATAATGTTAACAGTGATGGTGGTGATGATGGTTGATCATGTTAACAGTGATGGTGGTGATGATGGTTGATCATAATGTTAACAGTGATGGTGGTGATGCTGGTTGTTGATCATAATGTTAACAATGATGGTGGTGATGCTGGTTGTTGATCATAATGTTAACTGATGGTGGTGATGATGGTTGATCATGTTAACTGTGATGGTGGTAATGATGGTTGATCATAATGTTAACAGTGATGGTGGTGATGCTGGTTGTTGATCATAATGTTAACTGATGGTGGTGATGATGGTTGATCATGTTAACTGTGATGGTGGTAATGATGGTTGATCATAATGTTAACAGTGATGGTGGTGATGCTGGTTGTTGATCATAATGTTAACAGTGATGGTGGTGATGCTGGTTGTTGTTCATAATGTTAACAGTGATGGTGGTGATGCTGGTTGTTGATCATAATGTTAACAGTGATGGTGGTGATGCTGGTTGTTGATCATAATGTTAACAGTGATGGTGGTGATGATGGTTTTGATCATAAGTTAACAGTGATGGTGGTGATGATGGTTGTATAATGTTAACAGTGATGGTGGTGATGATGGTTGTATCATAATGTTAACAGTGATGGTGGTGATGCTGGTTGTTGATCATAATGTTAACAATGATGGTGGTGATGCTGGTTGATCATAAGTTAACTTGATGGTGGTAGATGATGGTTGATCTATGTTAACTGTGATGGTGGTAATGTGTTGTTGATCATAATGTTAACATGATGGTGGTGATGCTGGTTGTTGATCATAAGTTAACGTGATGGTGGTATGATGGTTGATCATGTTAACTGTGATGGTGGTGATGCTGGTTGTTGATCATAATGTTAACAATGATGGTGGTGATGCTGGTTGTTGATCATAATGTTAACAGTGATGGTGGTGATGCTGGTTGTTGATCATAATGTTAACAGTGATGGTGGTGATGCTGGTTGTTGATCATAATGTTAACAGTGATGGTGGTGATGCTGGTTGTTGATCATAATGTTAATGATGGTGGTGATGCTGGTTGTTGATCATAATGTTAACAATGATTGTGGTGATGATGGTTGATCATGTTAACTGTGATGGTGGTAATGATGGTTGATCATAATGTTAACAGTGATGGTTGTTTATCTTAATGTTAGCAGTGATGGTGGTGATGATGGTTGTTGATCATAATGTTAACAATGATGGTGGTGATGATGGTTGTTGATCATAATGTTAACAATGATGGTTGTTGATCATAATGTTAACAATGATGGTGGTGATGATGGTTGTTGATCATAATGTTAACAATGATGGTTGTTGATCATAATGTTAACAATGATGGTGGTGATGATGGTTGTTGATCATAATGTTAACAATGATGGTGGTGATGATGGTTGTTGATCATAATGTTAACAATGATGGTTGTTGATCATAATGTTAACAATGATGGTGGTGATGATGGTTGTTGATCATAATGTTAACAGTGATGGTGGTGATGATGTTTAGTTTAATATGTTTATTATGCACCCCATACCCATCCTGTGGGCGGTAGTCAAAAGATTACAGAGGTACATAATTGGTCCA